TGAGGAGTTGATGGGGCCTTTGTAGCTGGAACGTGTACTGTGTTGGGTCTCTGAGGAGTTGGTAGGGCTTCTGTAGCTGAAGAACTTATTGTGTCGGGTTTCTGAGGAGTTGATGGGACTTCTGTAGCTGGAACGTTTACTGTGTTGGATTTCTGAAGAGTTGATGGGACCTTTGTAGCTGGAGCATTTATGGTGGTGGGTTTCTGAAGAGTTGATGGGACTTTGGTACCTGAGACATTTGCTGCACTGGGTTTCTGAGTTGATGTAGCTTCGGAACCTGGAACATTCGCTGTGGTAGGTTTCTGAGGAGTTGATGTGGGCTTTGTAGCTGATACAATTACTGTGGTGGATTTCTGAACTGGTGGTGTGACCTTAGAAATCTGAGAACCTTATATAGAAGAAAAATGTTAAAAAATATTAGCTAAATAATGCTGTCAAGTTAAGACTGAGGAGCAAATTGCTTGCTCTATGAATTCTCTTTCTCTCTCCCACAAACACCTAAATATGAATATGACTTTTAGGAGACCAAGTCTAATTATGATTTTCCCAGGGAATTGAAATGCTGCAGGTTTTTGCTTTGATATAAATTATGCCTGTAGCCAACTAAAGTGGGTTTACACCAAAGTAGTACTGAGGTTCTTAAACTGTTTTCTATGTAAAGAAAAGAAACCAAAGTCAGAGTTGGTAGTGATCTCATTCTGTGACACACCCCAAATTAAGATATTTTCTCTCACAAAATGTTTTCCTTTGCTCATGCCAAGACCAAAGAACCAAATAGAACCACTGGACAGACAGAGATAATCACAACATAGTTCCTTTTCTCGATGCTTTCAGGACATGTTAGTCACCTTGGGAACTTGTTCTGTTTTATTCCTTTTTAAAAGTAATACAGTCAATCTGGAAAAAAAAAAAAAAACAACTCTTTTTTTCCTCTTGTGCTGGTTACCAATGTGACACGTATTAGTTTAGTCCCTCTTTGGACTGCAGATCAGGTAACAAATACCTGAAGCGCAACCTTGATTAAGATCCTATTCTGAGGGGCGCCTGGGTGGCTCAGTTGGTTAAGCAACTGCCTTCGGCTCAGGTCATGATCCTGGAGTCCCTGGATCGAGTCCCGCATCGGGCTCCCTGCTCGGCAGGGAGTCTGCTTCTCCCTCTGACCCTCCCCCCTCTCATGCTCTCTGTCTCTCATTCTCTCTCTCGCAAATAAATAAAATCTTTAAAAAAAAAAAGATCCTATTCTGAGAATTGCAACTCTAACCATTTTGTACAGTTTTAGGTCTTCAGTGCCTGTCGGCCTTTGGGCCACTTACAAACTCCCTCCTCAGGCAGCACTGAGAAGGGCTGCCTGCTTCACCACACACTGGAGACTGTGGGCAACTTCTCTAATCCTGCTAAGCTGCGATTTTCTCATCTGTACAGTGAGGATAAAAACAAAGCGGATTTGAGAACATTATTGTAACGAATGAGAGAAGTAATGTAGGGAAGTTATTTCACACAATGCCTGTCTCTGAAGGAACACATTTTACCATTCCAGTGGGCAGCTGCCCACACCACCAGCACACACACCCTGCTCCACTCACTCAGACACCCAGCATCATTTACGTCTGCTTCCTGCTTTTCTTCCTCAGAGGACGGTGGGGATGGGACAGCTCACGGAGAAGACCTAGCCAGTAGAGTAGGACTGACACCCTCAAAAAATGGTAGATGGTATTGTTAGGGTAACATTTCATATGGACTTTTCCTCTAAGGTGCTCATATCATAAATCTTATTCTTTGTTCCACCACGTTAGTTCTCATTTTTGAGCCAGAAGACGTACATGCTAGTATAGTGTAAGTGTCCTGGAAATTGCTTTTCTCGTTGCCTTCTTGTTATTTGATGTCTAGTTTAATTCCATCGCCATCAGCGCGCTCCAGATTATTTCAGTCTTCTGAACCACATTGTGATTTAGAGCCCAGCCTATGGGCGATGTTCCATGCACACTTGGAAAAACTTCTTCCATCTGTCCTTATAGGGTTCAATGCTCTTAATATGTCAATTTTTTAAAAGAAGTTTAACCATTGCTTCTATATTCTTACTGATTTTTGGTTGCTTATTCTAACAGCTATTGAAATAGGTGTGTAGAATACTCAAACTCTAATCATGGATTTCTCTCTTTTTCTTTCTATCCATTTTTTGCTACATGTGGATTGACGCTTTTTTTCTCCAGTACCCATAGATCGCAGATTGTGATAGATTCCTGTTGAACAGACCCCATTTATCATTATGAACTGTTGTATCTTAAGGTATTCTTTGATATTAATAGAACTTCACCAGCTTTTTTTTTTTTTTTGGTAACTGTTTGCAAAATATATTTTTCCATCCTTTACTTTTGACCATTCAGTGTTCTTATCATTAAATTTTGTCTCTTGTAAACAGCAAATAGGATTTTTTAAAATCAGTCTGACAATCTTACTTAAATCACACTGTGTAATTATTGATAGAGTTGGGTTTATAGCAAACACCTTACTATCAGTTTGCTTTTCCACCCATTTATTCTATGTTCCCCTTCTTCTCTTGTTTCCTTTTGGATGAAGTGTTCATTATCATTCCTTTGTTAGCTTATGATTTATACTTTCTTTCACTATTATTTTCATGGCGGCCCTAGAGATTACAGTATGTATTAGACTATAAGTCAATTATGCAAATTAACATTTTTACAGCTTTTTAGTATTGCCAGAACCTCATAACTTTTAAATGCAATTTACCTCTTATTGCCTTTTGCTCTGTTGCTCTTATACACTTGTATTCGACATACACATCAAACCCTAGAAGACAATGCATTTATCATTTCGTACAGTACCTATTCATGTACCTTTGCTAGTGTTCTTCATTTCCTCTTGCATTTTCATGTTTTACTTGGGATTATTTTCATTCTACTTGAAGGAATGCTTTTACTTTGTTGTTCTGTGCAGGTCTGGTCTTCTGGTGACAAGTTCCCATAGTTTTCACATGAGAACATCTTCATTTTGCATTCAGTTTTAAAGCATATATTCATTGGGTAAAGACTCCTAGGTGAGCAGTCATTTTCTTATCCTTAACTTGGAGGATTTCTTCTCATTGTCTTTGGCTTCCATAATTTTTGTTGAGAAGCCTGTGGTCAGGTTTGGTGTTGCTCCTTTGAAGATAATGTTGTCTTTTTGTCTCTTGATGCTTTTATTATTGTTTTGAGTTGCCAAAATTTTTGCCATGACATGCCGGGAAGTGGTTTTATTTTTATTCTGCTAAGAGTCCCGAGAACCTTTGGAATGTGCTGATGTATTTCATCAGTTTTGGAGCATTCTGTCATCTCCTTGAATACTTCTGCTCCTCTTTCTCTCTTTCTCTGTCTCTCCTCTTAGCTAACCTATGTTAGAACAGTTTAACATGTCTCAAATATCTCCTAAAGTTTCATCTATGTTTTACATCCCCTCCTCCCCCAACCCCCCCGTTTTGTGCTTCTGGGCATTATTAATGAATCTTCCTTCTTGTTCCTAATACTGTGGCCAAATCACTGTTAAACCTATTGTGCTCTTCATTTCAGATTGTATATTTTTCAAAAGTTGTAGAATGTCTACTTTATTTTTATAGATTCCAGTTCTTTGTTGAAATTCTCTATTTCTCTTTTCCTTTAATACCTTAAACATATTAACCACTGATTTTAAAGTCCTCATCTGCTAACTCAATTATCTGGATCTCCTTTATCTGGATTTATTTTCCCCTGATTTGGTTATAATTTCTTACTTCTCTCCATGTCTAATAACTCTTTTATTGTATTACTGACATTGTATATAAAACATTCAGATGGTATGATCTTCCAAGAGAGTCCCCTTTTCTGACAGGCAGACTGGTTGGAGGTGATCACATCCTCAGCCCTGGAGGGACTGAGCTGGGTCTCAGCCTTAGTAAAACTCAGTCTACTTCTACTCTTGCCTCTGTTCCTTGGGAGTTGTCCCTCTGGGCTTTTCCTCGACAGCCTGGGAATCTTTGTTTCCTCAGCCCTGAGAAACTGTGGGAGATGCAGGTCTGTCCTTCAGGAGTCCCCAGCCCAGCAATCCAGCCTCCTTCCCCACATAGCTTCAAAATGGGCACAAATGTGTTAAGGGGGACAGGAGTGTATGCTTGATTCAAGCTTCTTCCTCTGATATTTGTTGCCCAAATACCAGAAGGATCTGAGAGACTGCATTTTGTACTTTGGAAGCTTTGGGTCTAACCCCCAGTCTCCCCCACAGCCCAAGAAATCAGCAAATGGCCCTTGGGAAAAACTGGCTCTGCATTGAGGACCTCAATTTTCAGTATATTTTTCTAGCCCACCACAACCACTAAAAGCTTGGCCAGTTTCTCTCTTTCCTGGCAGTGGTCTTTTAAGTGGGTCACGATGGACCCCCAGCCCAGGTGTACATCAGGGTGGCTTGCCTTCACTCTCGACCCCCAGGAATTCTAGTTCATTCAGTCCTGGTCGTTCCCACCCTTGTATCTCATGCCTTTCAAAATATGACTTAAAAAAAAAAACTATCCAGATTTTGTAGTTATTATAAAGGAAATACTGGCCTACCATGGCCTACTCGGGCACTACCCTAGACTTGTAAGCTCTAAATAACTGATAATTTAATAAAACAGGGGAAAATAAATATGGAGTGTATCACATAGCCAGATTAAGAAGCAAACACATACCAAATTTCTCCCATAATTAAATTAATTCAGACAATATAATGAAATTCTCACCATACAGTTGTCACATCTCCACTTCATACTAACCATTATCGTTAGGGGTGCGGAGAGCCAGCACAGTGAAGCACTATTCCTGGGAGAGTGAACTGCTACAGTTTCTTTGGAAACAATGTTGGTAACGTCTGTCAAAAGTTTAATGCATGTCCCTTTGTTCCAGCAAGTACCCTGCAAAGAATTTACTGTACAAAATGCACTTGCACACTTGTGCAATTCCAGATGCCCAATATTTGTTGCAGCATCTTTTGTAATAATAATTAAAAAACAAACAAACAAACTAGCTAGAATCAAAAACTAAATTTCCCTCAATAGGTTAAATAAATGATATATTCATACAACTGCTATGATTAAAAATATAAATATGTGTATGTATGTTTATTTTCTAGAATCAAATGCAAACATTTGTGAACGATGGTTACTTCTGAGAGAAGGACTAGGGACAGAGAGATTGTTACTTTACATTTTATACCCGTCTGCATGGTTTTAATATTACTTCCCTGTTGATGTATGCCATTTATAACAAACAACTGTTTTCAACAAGCACTGATATTTAAAAATTCATGCTAACATAATTCCAAGTATAATTATAAAGGGAGCTCAAGTCACCCTGGCATCACATATCACATTGCTTAAATACCGCCTACTGGGATCACGATCTAGATCCCTCAGTTTAGTCTAAGGTTCCCTCCCAACTGAAGAAAATAAACCATTTTATTTACTTTTCATATTAATGTTAACTTATTGAAGGGGATATGGTAAGAAATAGCAAATGCAAGCTAACTCACTAAAAACATGAGACATGTTACTTCTTAATCTGGCTATGTGATACATTTCATATTTATTTCCCCCTGTTTTATTAAATTATCAGTTATTTAGGAGCTTACAAGTCTAGGGTAGTGCCCAAGTAGGCCACGGTAGGCCAATATTTCCTTTATAATAACTACAAAATCTGGATAGATTTTTTTTAAGTCATATTTTGAAAGGCATGAGATACAAGGGTGGAAACGACCAGGACTGAATGAACTAGAATTCCTGGGGGTTGAGAGTGAAGGCAAGCCACCCTGAGGTGCACCTGGGCTGGGGGTCCATACATACACTGTGTGTGTGTATGCATTTATTTATTTATTCATACATTACCACATATTCTCCATATCAGTGTTTCCTCCTTCCTTGGAAGTCATAGACCCCTCTAAGAATCTGATGAAAAATTGCACCCCCCAGAAAAATAAAAATACGTATATGTACCACATTTTCCATTCATTTCTCAGGGAGTTCATAGAATCTCTGTAGCCCATATATAGACCTAAAGGTATAAATAAAACAAAAATACAACAATGCAAACTCATTACCTTTGCATTCAGGTGGCAGGCCACTCCATTCTCCTTGGTCACCTCTAACAGTACAATAAATAGAGTTCTCTCCGATCAGGGTGAAGCTTTCATTACATCTATATTTTATAGTCTGTTGATACACATAAGTGTCCCGTGGATCCAGAATGAATCCATTGCTAATTTCTGGTGGTTCTGGACAGAAAATTTCTTTAAAAAAAAGTCCAACATATTTTACATTAATAAAACTGCCAATTACTTACTTTAATAGGTAAGATTAAAACATGTTAAATAACTTATTTTAAAAAAGTAAAAACCTACCATTTTTCTAAATTCAGCATTATCAAAACCAGGGAGCTTAGAAATACCTATTAAGTAATGAGTAGTGTATTTGGAGCTCTGGATACAAATGGTGTAAAACATGAATGCTAACTTTGAGACCAATGTATAGAAATAAGATCTAGAACATATATGTGAAGCAAAAATTACAATAAAGTCCTCACACATTACATATCAAATTGTGCTAGAAAAAGCCCATACTGCCGGAGTTCAGAGGTGAAAGCAGGGCAGAGATGTTAAGGAGGAAATGGAACTTGAGTGTAATACTGAGACATACCCTTCTGCTAAGAGAGCAGAGCAGAGGGCATTGCTCTGCGTTCCAGGGGGAAATGATGCCAAATGGAAGGAGCCTAGAAGTCAAGTGGCATACTTGGGAAATAAGAACAGATGATTCTGACAGAGTGAAATATCTGAAGTGTCAGGACTACATTTTGACTTTTAGGATCAAATTTTGTTAAGCATACATTGACGCACAGCCTTCTACTTAAAGTAAACGTATTGAGCAGCGGCACTCGGAAAACCGTACTAGAGCCCCCACCTTGGCAGTAGCCCTGATAAAAAATGCAATGGATCCACATTGCATGGATAGAGCATAGAGTATGAGGGCAAGACATGAGTGTGAAGTGGGGAGACCATGCCAACCCTCGTATGCTTTACTAAGGAGTTTGGACTTTGTAAGTGATGAGGAGACGTGTAAGTTTAAGACGGAAGAGATAAGTCACATCTGTGTTTCAGATGGATCACTCTGGGTAGAATGTGGATGAAACATTAACAGTCCCAAGAATGGGGGCCAATGCAATCAGCATCACCTTTGAACTCAGGCAAGTGGGACTCCTGCCCCAGCTCCTGCACTTTAAGAGGCTACGGCCCTCTTCGGACTGTGCTTCTCCCTACCAGTGGGGTATCTGCAGGGCTGTGGGTATGCTCACTGAGAGCTCTTCCCCCACCCCACTGTAAATTCTGCTCTAGGAACTGGCCTTCGGAATTCCCCCCTGCAGGGCCTGAAAGTGTCCCTTCTCCCAGTCAATATTCTTTTTTTTTTTTTTATGGAACACTACAAATTTGTGTGACATCCTTGAACAAGGGCCATGCTAATCTTCTCTGTATTGTTCCAATTTTAGTATATGTATCACATGGTCCTGATTGTTGTATACACCTGTAGTCCAAAGTTCAGTATGCCATGGGGGTGGGGGGAGGTCCCCCAGTACATGACTTGGGCGTGTGGGCCATGTTGTGCATTTACATGCATCAGAGGCTTCTCACAGTGCCAGAAGGGGATGCCTATTTGAGTAAGTTTGCTGTCCAAACTCACTTTAGTATCATTTACAACATCCCTTGCTAGATGACGGAAATGGGAAAGGTGGGTGGTGGGTAGTAATGCTGAAAATTTCGAAGTACTAATAATGAGAAAAAGGGGAAGTAGCAGACATAGGAGGGTAGAGCTCAAGGTGGTGTGTGGTGTAGGAGGGTATCTGGGTGTGACCAGCTTACACCTGCAAGCTCTTGGTTGGCAAGACTTCATTTTATTTGTCTTCATATCAACTGACCCCATACATTTCCTACCGCAGTGTGTCAGTCAAGACACTCTTGTCAAATCCACTAAGTCTAGTCTCGTTTTCTGCTCCTAATAACACTCAAAACTTGACCTTAGCGATAATTTTAGCAAAGATGGGAGAAACAATAAAGCCTACATTTTTAAACGTTGCATTTTTTTTCTTAAGAAGAAAAAGAAATATGCTGCACATATTTTACTCCTCTCAATTTTCAGGAGACATATGCCTCTAGTGGATATAAATTTGACTGGATACATGCATTTATGATACTATTTCTATGTCCTAATCTCCCTCTAAGAAGATAAGATCTTCAAGTGCAGAAATCATATTTCTTCTTTATTGTATAACCTTATTTCTCTAATCATGAAAAATCAATCCCATTTCAAAACATTTATAGATAATTAGCTCTCTTCATAATCCTAAAAGAGGCAACACTGAGTCCTAGAAAAATGATGGGTTTGATGTCCAGAGATCTGGGTTAAATGCCTTCTCTTGCCATTTATTTTGGGATGTAGGTTCAGGTCATATAGACTCTCTGATCAAGAATATTTTAATTCATAAAATTAAAAATTATGGGGAAGAAAAACCCTGTATCTATTTTGCTTGATTGTTAGAAGGAAAGGTAGGATAATAAATGACCAACCACAATATACACCTGTTTGCTGGGGTTTTGTTTATTTGTTTTGTTTGTTTGTTTATTTGTTTGTTTTGGAGTTTGTTGGGTTTTTCTAATCCTTTATCTCTGCAGCTAATAAATTAAGAAACATTACTAATAAAGATCTTTATTTTTATTTTTTTTAAAGATTTTATTTATTTATTTGACAGAGAGAGACACAGCAAGAGAGGGAACACAAGCAGGGGGAGTGGGAGAGGGAGAAGCAGGCTTCCCGCCAAGCAGGGATCCCGATGCGGCTGGGGCCTGATGCGGGGCTCGATCCCAGGACTCTGGGATCATGACCTGAGCTGAAGGCAGACGCTTAACGACTGAGCCACCCAAGTGCCCCACTAATAAAGACCTTTAAATTAGCTAAGACACTCCTACACTGGAAGTGGGGGGTACTACAAATACACAATGTGGATAATTCTTCATGAGAGAAAGTAATTTACCATTCACTATTCAGCCTCACACTAGAGTGCTTAGGTTTTTTTTCAGTCTTACCTTGGCATTCGGGAAATGGATCACTCCACCCAACACCCTCGTCTACAAGGGAACAGTAACTAGAAGTTTCACCAACTAGCCTGTACCTAAAGCAATGAGGGGAGAAAAAAAAGTTAGGTTTCATCCACTCGTTTGGCTTCCCTTAAGTTCTCCAAAATATCATCTTAAAATATTTACTACACCAGTAGATGGAGACAAAACAAGTTGATCAAAGTTCACATGGCAGTTTAAAGGAAAAGAAAAAATTAAATTAAAAAAGGTGATATACAAAGGATACGAAAGTATAAGACATACAAAACGTTTTTTATTTGGGTGGGGTCCACATGAGAAAACAGGAAAGTATTTTGAAACATTTTAAAGTGATATAGATGCTTGAATATTTTATATTTCTGAATTCTAAAAGATCAACAGAGGCTTCATAGAATAATAGAACATATTTATATTTTAAGGCTCAAAGTACTGCCCAGATTTGATATTAATCATATTAACGATCCAAGTATCTCTGTTGCGTACAGGAGACACATGATGTTGATATTTTTATTTTATAAAGAGCAGGTACACACACACACACACACACACACAGAGTAAAATATCATAATTCAATATGCAGATATTTAATGAGAAAATGAACATAAAGTTTCCAGCAGTCTCTGAGACACTGATGATACCCAAAGAGTGAGTTCCTTTTCCCTACATAGAGAACTTAGAAAAGACCTCAGGTCAGCATGATATTTTTATACTAGGAGTAAATGTTTTTAACACATAATATTTTGCAACAGGTGGTTTGCATACAGAAAAAAATGCAAATTCATTATTTAGGTAAAGTAAGGATTGGTTTCACTTGAACACTTGAAGGATATAATTTCTGCAAGTGCCAACATGTTACAGGTTTTTCCCTTTACTAGTCACATTTATAATTTTATAATGAATCACATACGTACTGAAATCTAACAAGTGAGAGAATTTGGTGTTATAAGAAATTGTCCTTTCTTGCCCTCATTTTATTAAATTTAACCATGATGAGCTCATGATGAAAGATCTTTGAGCAAAGGAGTTGTTTTATTGAGACTAGCTTGTAAACACTGACCACAAGTCTAAAAACTTCCATCTTAAGTCCTAATTTGTTTTTACATTTGTTAAATATAGAGTATAAATACGTAGTATGCCAAAACTTACCCCTCGTTACATGAGAAGGAGATAGATGAACCATATAATAGGTCAGTTGGTATGCTGACATGGCCATGTCTTAAATCTCCAGGATTAGGACATGATTTTTCTAGAAGAGAAAACAAATTGATTTTTTTTTCATTAAATTATCAGGCACTTCTATGCAAATTCATCATCTGAACTATTGACATTTCTTATTCTTAGACTTTTTAAAATCCTTCCTTCATTTTGTAAGTTTCAAATAAAACACTATATTTAGAATATACGCTTATTACATCTTAGGTAACCTTAAACAAATTAAATGTGAATAAATTAATACTCCCATCTCACAAGTATTTAGTTGGCCTAATTTAGAACAAAATTATAAAATTACTCTAATGGTTCTTTTCAGAATCATTCAAAGTAATAATATGTACACATGGACTTCCAGCATGAATGAAGGAAGAAATACTATTTCCCCAAATACCATATGATTACGAATACTCTGTAAAATTATACTCACTTTTACAAAATTCATCTGGTTTGGACCACGTAAAATTCTGAAGGCAAGTTAGTTTTCCTGAGAGAAAACGGTTCCTTTGGAAGCCAGGTCGGCATTCATATTCCACAATGGAACCCGCTGGGAAATAATTCTGTTTGGTAAAAGACTTTTTGAGAGATGCAAAAAGTAGTCTGGTTGGAACGTCACAGCTACCTAAAAGTATTAGGAAAAGCAACAATAAAAAAAAAAAAAAAAGGAAAAGCAACAATATAACTAATATCACCTTATTTGATAATCTGTGTTTAATTATCCAGAATTATTTGGTCCTTACATCACCCCTTTTTCTGTACTTCTTTGTACATATTTGATATTTAACTATAATAATATCACTACAACATTCACAGTATGTCAAGCACATTCACGTATATACTTCTATTTCCTAATTAGTAAATTTGGTACCTAGATATCACTATGCCTACAACTCAGGAAATATAACACATTTTAGTTGCCTGGCACAGTTCTGCCACTGACCCTTACCTGCCCAAAGGAGGACAGGGGTGAGAGGAGAACCAGTATTTCCTCAGACCCCTGGGGCTAATGTCCTGAACAACAACAATAACAGTAACAATAATAGCTAATATTTATTGAATACTTCTAAATGTTTTATATGTATAAACTCATTTCATCCTCACAACAACCCAGAAGGCCACAGATCAGGTGAGCCAGGGGTGTACATAAAAGTATTTATAAACGGTAAACACCTGGGCAAATGTGAATGTGGAGAGGCATGGTACAGTGGAAGGGACATGGACTTTATAGTCCAAAGACTCAAGTTTGGACCCTGGCTCTCCTGCATAAGAACTGCTGATGTCAAGAAGTTACTTGACTTCTGGGGGACTATTTCCCCAGACTACCTCCTTACTGAAAAATGGGGGTAAGAGTCCCTACTCCACTCATGGGGTTGTCCACTCATGAAGGAGTCAATGGAGTCAGCTATGTAGAAGCATTATAAACTCTAAAACATGATACATGTGCAAAGGCTTAAGTACTTCAACCACTGCCTTCTATCCTGCACACACAGAACCCAAAGGTTCAAGTTGATTTCACACTGGTTTCACAAAATACTCGTGGCAGTTTCTATATTTCCTGTACCTTCTATTACTCCAGGTTGTCCAAAGCTAGGAACCAAGTCTCATCTTTACTTGTCTCTGTCAAAGTTAATATAGGACTATGCATCTAGTGATAGGTTTTGAGGGAAATACAGAGAACTTTTTAAAATGCTACCACAGAGTTGTATTTGGTGAGTCCTACTTTACAAAATGAAATTTAAGAACACAGAAGACCTATGTTATGTGTCGCGAGGTGATTGCCAAACATCTTCATATATAATTTACATCCTAAATTGTACCTATTGTTTATTCTATTAGTTCAGGAGGTACAGCATTAGGTGGGGGCAGGGGGTGGGGCAGAGAACAACAACAGAAAGTCCAAACCTGTTAATGAAGAAGCAGGACCTATTCTGGGAAGTAATGTGGTCAGTTAGCTGCAGTGTGAAGTGTCAGGTATATATACCCTGGGGTTTCCTAATGCTTGAAAACTATCGATTACCACTCATGCTGAAGAGGGATAAAATTAAGCTAACAAGATACATTCCATTCCCGTAACTTACATATACAAAAATGAAGAACTTACGGCTACAAAATTCTGCCACCTCTGACCATGTATTGTTGAGACAGACCACTGAGTCGGCCCTGCCAGGAACCTTTACAAAGCCTTCATTACATTTGTATGTTACTGTGGTTCCTTCTTGAAAACTCAAGAGATCTCCCAAAGTTGGTTGGGCATTAGGTACCTCTGGGGGAATGTTGCAGTCACCTAGGGAGGAAAAAAGAAAAAAAGAAAAAAAGAAAAGAAAAAACAGAACTGAAGGAAATAACACTTTTCACTTCATAGCAACATTCCTTTTGCAAGAGGAGTAAGGGAAGCAGCCAAGGCTTTTGATGCACAGGTAAGGTTTCCATACAGTGCTGAACCGACATACCAAGAATTTGCTAGGCTGCCTGTCTTGTCAATTAATTCAGTCTCAAAATAAGGACAGAATCAACCTCTCCCTTTCATTATTTAAAAAAAAAAAGAAAAAAAAAGAGTGGTTTAGAATTGATCTCCACATTGATACTGTTACTAAGCACACAATAAAGACAGACGCCCCCGTGGAACGTTCCACCTGGAAGACAAGATATGCTAACGGGTAGCGCCCCGTGCAGCACGTTTAAGAGGTGACAGTGGTCAACTCTGGCCTCCCACCCTTAAAAAGATGTTGGGGGATTCAGAATTCACTCTTTGAGCCCTGCCCTTCGGCTTCCCCAGGTTTGGCTGCTCCGCAAACTCAGCCCGCGCTTCCTCAACGGTCCCCTCCTCACTCCTGAAGCCGTGCTAGCTGGGGTCCAGCACAGCAAGACCCCACACTGCAGGACAGCCCGGAGATCCTCTCCCTGTCCCCAAGGGATCGTGCCAGTAGGAGCTCCGAGCCTTAAGGGTAGAGGATTACGGGAACGATTTACCCATGCCCACATTCTTCACCTCCCCGGGTCCCCAGACTTCCCGGTCGTCGCGGAGACGGATCCAGCCCCTCCCACCAGCCTAAGGGTTCCCCTGGCGGGGCCGGACCCCCCAGCCCCCGCTCACCCTGAGCCGCAGGTGGACCCAGCAATAGCAGCAGCAGGAGCAGCGGCCCGCGGAGAAGGCCCATGGCGCCCAGGGCCCGGGATCCGGAGTAAGGGGAAGCGGGCTCCAGCAAGGAGCTGTAAGAAGCAGCAGCGCCTGGCTATGGCCCCAGGCGAGTTAAATGAGCGCCTGGGCGGGGTTGGGGCTCTGAATCACAATGGGTGGGGCGAAGAGACGGGCGGAGGAGAGTTTAGCTCGCACCAGGTGCCGGGCAGGGCGAGGGCGGGGGACTCTCGCGGCTCGCTCCCCTAGAGACCCTAGACTGGGGAAGGGGGATAATGGGCCGGGAGAGGGGCTCTCTGGCCGGTCGCCTGGATTCTCTTTTGCTCTTTGCTGGGGTGGGGCCTGCGCCGAGCTCCCATCTGGAAATGTAAATATCTGCTTTCCAAGTAAACAAAACACTTGGGGGGCCCGGGGGGCGGGGGCGGAGGAGAGGGGCGTGGCTCAAGCGGCCAGGGCTTCGCTCCCTGGAAATCTGAATTAGGTTAACAGAAAATTTAGCGCTCTTGAGTGCTGCCAAGCTGAGCAGAAGGTGCGGTGGATTCCCAGGTAGCCCCTGGAAACTGAGAAAGAGTGCCCACCCAGGGACCTGGTGCCTTCAACTGGAGGTCTGTCAACTGCCAACAAGGAATGGGAAAAAACAGTGTGTGGTCTGCTAGCACACTCCGTAATCTGAAAACAGCAAGTGGGAAATGGCCCAAGAAAACAGGTCAGGCAACACAGCAAGGAGTGACCATTGTTCATACTATGTTTGGGTGGGAATCACTTTCCTCGCCAGGGTTCTCCTTATTTACCAAGGACAGCTCATGAATTCCACTTTGGGACTATTCTAGTCCGACTGCTGGGAGAAATGCACCATCCCGTGGAATGTGCGTGTGTGATGCGAGGGGAGAAAAATGCCCAAACAAAAACCAAGCGCCAGAAAACGAAATGATAGGGTGGTGGTTTTAAGAGGAAGGTTTGTTAGAAGACCTTAGGTATATTCCAGTGGTTTGCAAGACTAGCCACACATTAGAGTGACGTGGGGAGCTTAAAAAAAAAAAAAAAAATCCAGATGCTCAAGCTACACTTCAGACTACTTAGATTAGAATCTCTGGGGATGGGAAGGAAGGGGGCAGAAGGATTACTTAAAGCATTCCAGGTGATCACACTGGGCAGCACAAATCTATACGGGGCTGGTCAGAGTAAAGGTCTCTCCTTCCCCCCAGTCCAGCACTGTCCCTGTCAAAAACACAAAAGGACATCATCTTTATGGAGAGTAACCCCAAGAGCATTTCCCTTTAGTAATTCACATCAGTCTGGTTAGCAGAGTTCATCCTAGGTTTCCTATCCCCTCGAATACCTTCCCTGGTTAAATGAAATCCTCAACTTGGAAATACGCCATGGTCCATGGATCAGATGTGGGGGTATTTGTGGCTCCAGTAATGATATTCTTTCCTAAATGTTTTTGATCACTCTTTTCCGGTTAGTAAGAGCTTTGTAAGAAGGAAGACAACAGTTTTCTCTGTTTCTCTGGCTCATGTTTACTGTAGTGAACTGAATAAACCCTGTGTTACCCAATGCTGGAGCCAATTGTATAGGGATTCCAAGAAAGGAACTCCTATAGGTTTTCATGGAAACCTATCAGTATTAAAACATTCTAGAGTTTAGAAGTTGAGTAGAGGGACTTTTAAAATTATCTAGCATTGGGGCGCCTGGGTGACTCAGTCAGTTAAGCATCTGCCTTCGGCTCAGGTCATGATCGACGTGGGTCCTAGGATCGAGCCCCACATCGGGCTCCCTGCTCAGCGGGGAGTCTGCTTCTCCCTCTCCCTCTTCCTCTTGTGCTCTCTCTCTCTAATAAATAAATAAAATCTTTTAAAAAAATAAAGTTATCTGGCATGATCCTCCTATTTGATATTAAAACATCTTGCTTTCACTTCCGTATGTGATATAAAAACACAAAATATATCAGGGCCCAGCAGTGTTTTAGAATTGATACCAGATCTTTGTTTATTCTCCCATGACTTTATCCACCATTCCTTTCTGTCCCACCATTATACAGGCAGGCAGTCTTTATTCCTGCTTGAGCTCATAGAACTGGTGTGAAAGGCAAGGTGGCATTATGGAAAAGAGCTGAAGGTCAAGGCCAGTCATGGAGCTGTTGAAGACTTAACTTCAAGCAAGGCCCGTTAGAGCTCTCTAAGTGTTTATTAAGTGAATGTAATACCTTTTTATCCAGGAGAACAATGAGCTCTGGATAGTGTTTTTTTAAAAAAAAGATCTCTAGCACCCAGTTTAGCTACACTAAGTGCTGTACACATTCACCTTCTAAAATATTTTGTTCTTGATAGTACTTTTTTTTTTTAAAAAAGGAACTTTTCCATGAATAACTGGGTGGGACTTTTTAGTAATACTATGACTACTTCCCGAAATTTCAACATTCTGAGAGTAAAGGGAAAGAAAGAAATCCACTATCCATTTCTCAATTTAGAAAAAAAGATCTGTGACGAAATTCTATGCATTAAGAAAAATGAAATATGCAAGTTTGGAACTTACTGAGAATTATTTTAAATAATGGCTTCAGTGTGTTGTGTTCCAATCACTTCATACACACGACACCATTTCACCAACACCACTTCACCAAGTGGAGATAATTGCCCACATTTTACAGATGAGGAAAAAAGCTGAAAAGCTAAGTAATTTTCCAAAACCCATGCAGCTAATAAGTGACCAGGCCTGAATCTACACCGAGTTTGTCTGATTTCAAAATCTGTACTTCTCCAACTCTACATCACTACATTCTTTTTATTGGACCCAGTTAGCGAAGGTTTCTTCTGTGTAGAGGACAGTGAATTCGGTATTTTGGGAGGTGCTTTGGGAACCCAGCTGCTTCCGGTGTCAGCAGTTGACCCAAGTCCTCATACTTGACCTTCCCCAAAACTAGCTGTGTGTTCTCATTGAGTCACTCTACCCCTTAAGGCCTCATTCCTACACTGACTAAGCAAGAGTATGGGGCTGAAATAGTCTCTATAGAGCTTTCCAATTCCAAAACAATAAGTTAATGTAATTATGTCAAAAATATTTTTAAAAAACAGCAAATAAGTGTATGACTTTGGCAGAGGTTAAGGATCATGGCTCTCACTCTGTCCCAGGAACCATATAATGACTGAATCAAAGACTTTTAATAAACCGGGGAGCACATTGTATTCAGAGGCACATTAAGGATGTGCCAATACTTGTGTCCAAGCATCTGTAATCTACTAGGGAGGTTTTATGTGATTAATGTTAAGAGAATGCCACAGCCAATGGAGCGCGGGGGGTCAAAAAGAGAGAAAAGACTATGGCCATTGGGGTGGAGGAGGATAACGGCCTGGTGATTCAGCTAAATGTGACGAATGAACATCAGTGCAATAGGGAAAAAATATGAAAGGTGATAAGAATGGTATGAGCAGGGGCGCCTGGGTGGCTCAGTCGTTAAGCGTCTGCCTT